GATCAATAATTTTGTTACACCATCTGTTCTAAAAATCCATATGCATAAAAGAAAAACAAGAAGAATAAAATATTGTGCCTAGTGGAGCCCCATATCCATGGACGATGGATTATCAGTGGGAATAATGCGAAGTGGGGAGAAGGGAACAACAAAAGTAATTCTTGCTCATAATTCTCCCATCTGCTCTTTCGCTATGCTAAATTGCTGAGGGATAGGTGGGATTCAGAAATAAAGGTGGGGTTACCATCCTTATCTACATCTCATAGGCTTAAAGGGGCTTAGCAACAAACTACGTATGTAACTTAGAGTTTAGGGTTTAACGTATGTTTGAATGAAACAAATATGATAGCAATCTAAAACCCTAATAATAAGAAGTAGGAAAGTAATTATAGAATTGTTGTCATTTTGCTATCATGTTTGTTTCATGGTCAAATCTTTACAAGTACGTACTGAAAGTCCATAGGCATATTAAATTTCTTGTCATTTTCGTCTTGAAAAATTTGTGGTATTTTTATTTCCTTTAGTCTATGGTATAAGATTCAAAGTTTTGCCCAATTTCTCTTCTTTCACAAGATTTGCTTCAAACACCATACCGACCAACCTAAGAAAAATAAAACAAACGAAAATGGACACATGAAATCAAGAAGGAACTTAAACTATACGAAATGACAAGAGGTGTATTTATAAGCATCCAATCTAGAAACAAAATGGAGAGACTTAAACCCTAATAACAAGTAAGAAAGTAATCATAAACCTTATTCTACTAAAAAAATCTAATACATAATTAAGTATAAAAAAAAAACTTCAAAAATTAATTAAAGAGGTATTTGTTGGTTTGCCTCCCGAACTTGTATAGAGTTGCCAATTTTCTCCCTGAACTTTAATTTTAGCCGATTACCCCATGAACTTCTACAATTGGTTAATTTCCCACTGAACTTTAACTTTAGCTCGTTACCCCTCTAAAATTTTATAAATAGCCCATTCCCCCCCCCTAGCGTTTAGATTTTAAAAATTTTCATCCAAGTTTTCATTCTTTTTGCCCCATACAGTTGTTATTCGTTGTCTGCGTGATCAAAATGGACAAAAATTAGATGAAGTTTTTTAAAATCTAGCTTTTGGGGAGAATTGGCTAATTATAAAAGTTCAGAGGGTAATCAGCTAAAATTAAAGTTCAAGGAGAAAATTGATAGCTAGCTCTATACAAGTTTGGGGAGCAAATCGACAGATATGCCATTAATTAAATTGATTAACTGTTGATTTTCCCAACATATTCATGAACGATCGACTATTTGTGGGAATAATGGAAAGTGGGAAGAAGTTAAAGTATTTTGTCCTCATAATTATCCACCCAGTGATTTTTTTGGCAGTAGGAGCTCATTCTCAGTCTCTCGTGTGGACTGTCTTCTTCGCAATGCATACACCCAATAATTTTTTAGCAGGAGGAGTTCACTCTAGCTTGCATCTAATGTTTTGTAGGGACATTTCTCACTAACCTAACCTAAATCTCTTATACTTTGTAATCCTTCATATTCAGCACAACATAAAGCAGAAATTTTGAATATGACGATCGTATTGCCTAAAATAAAAGTTAATGGATGATATTGGTGACATGGGTTTCAACTATTACTAGCCATACAGATACTCGTCTGTCCTCTTTCCAGAAGAGCTACACACGGGTCTTTTGGGATTTTCATATGCAATGTTTGTGGATAACAAAAATAATAGGAAAACGTTTTTTGACAAACGATACAGGATTAGTTTGTTAGTTGTTAGGTGAGAAGATGATCAGTTGGGATCAAACTCGCATCAAAATGCATATGCATAATTATTTTTCACTACTACAGTAAAACGCCATCTGCATAGAAAAACTTATTCAATGTTGTCTTATCTGTGTTGGCCATTTATATCCACATGCCTATATATTAACCCCTGCATACATCTATGGTCAAAGTGAAGCAAATCTCCCTATATATTAGTTAGAGCACTCTCATCCTTTGACAGCTGGTACAACATTAGGGAAACTAGATGCATATGATTTTGTTGAGACTCTAGAGCATATTAATTAAGTTTGAAATGAAAGTTTTGCACAAAGTGATCGAAATATATTGTATCTTTTTCAGTTATTGTCGATTGATTTTGAGTTGAATGTTTGAATTCTAACAACGTAAGCCACCGTATGCATGCGATATCAACACAATAATTTTGAATGGTTTGAAGTTAGAGAAATGCTAAGGGGACTCTCTCATAGTGGGACTCTTAGCCACCTTACAGTTTAAAGTCAATTCTGGTGCCAACATTATAAAATATTGTGTCAAAAGCATAAGATGATAGAGAGCCTATGAAGAGTTTATAAGAGTATTCGTAACATTTCTCTTGAAATTAAAGTTAACATACACACACATATGGATCATCCATGCATGTTAGGGGGGTAGTAGGATTCCCAACATAAATAGACCAAAACCTGAAGCTCCAAACTTTCCGCAATGACAACTTAGTGCAGTATCGTGTACAGAATGCAACATACAGTAGAGGGTCAATATTGATACAAGCCATGAAAATGTAGCCATGCGCTGCATGTGGAAGGTGTTCCCTAATTAATTAATAATGATAGCTAAAAGTAGTTGGTTTTATCGACAAGGACGACGATTGCTCCATTTGCCGGTGGTACGTACTCTTTGAACACTATACTATTATGGTATAAGTCCTGCACAAAATGCACATATTTGATCCATGAAATGAAAGGACGTGGTTCCATTTCTTGAAGGGCATCCATGTATTTACACAAATACTATATAAATTCTCTTGCATGCATACTTAATTTGAAGGTCAGATCATGTGATGGAAATGTAGGGATAAGTTTAGATCAAATTAAGATCAAACGAATTAGAAACGTATGATGATTGAAACACTGAAAATAATGTGCGTAAATTCATGTACATATTAGCAGCTTAGTGATTTTCCCACTTAATCTCGTGAGTGTAAGATATTGTAAACACTTAATTTAGAGTGTTAGACTTAAATGAGAATGTCCAAATCTTTACTTTTTTTAGGATAACGCTAGGGAGATCAAAATTTTAAACCAAATGCGTAAACCAAATCATGTGTAACCAATAAGAAACAAATACGTTAATCGACACTTAATTAATAATTCAATAATGTACAACCAAATCATTTGATTTGCAAATTTAGTTAAAAAAATTTGGTCTCTCTAGCATTATCCTTTTTATATAGTATCCAAACTCTAGACGGCCTATTTAAATGGAGAGGTTATGGAATTCAAAAAAAAAATCGTGTATGATTTGCAAGATTTTGGGGACTAATATAAAAACCTTGCAAATTAGCAATCATGTAATATTTTTTTTGGTTATTTTTAGAATTAAAGATATCAAATAAAGCCAAGAATAATATTAAGTAGTTAAGTTGATAAAAGTAAACTGTGAGGATGTAAAGAACAGTCACACATCGAAAAAGTTAAGACACCTTGTAAGACCTTATAAGTCAGATTACTTTCTCAATAACCAATTGGTTATGATGATATAAAATTTCAACTTCTTCATGGTATCATAACAAGTCCTTCACATCTTACACTTGAAGACTTGAAGTTTCGACACATATGACGGAGAATTGAGAAATACCATCTATCAAGCAAGAAGTCTTTAGCCTATAGAGGAAAAAGTACCCACTCCACTTTAATTGGGTCAAGTAGAATCCAGGCCTCTTCCCTCTTGTAGCCTCCATGGAGTCTCCACATACTCCCATGAAATTGGGCCTCAAGGTCTGCATGAAATGATTTTTATTTTTTATTTTTATATTTTATGCCTATCTGCATGAAATGAATTGAAGGATTTGGTGTCAGCTAGCAAATAAATAGCGAAAAAACAAAAGCTCTGGAGAAAGGACATGGATCCTCTCCTGACCAGTTGTCCTAATCCACCTAATTAAATTATTTGGATCATTGGAATTTGATTAAACAGTTACAAACAGAGGTTAATTTTAAAAGTTATAATACATTTAGCCGTTAGATTAAATTTTAATGATCCGGATGATTTGACTAGGTAGATTAGGATAATTGGATCTAGAGAGGATCCATGTCCCCGGAGAAAATCCCAGAAAATATTTTAATTATTATTTTATTTCTTATTTCTTTTTTTTTTAAGGATTAAAAAAGAGGGTATAATCCAGTCCATCCGAATAAGGCAATTATGGATAACCCTAAATTTTGTGTTGTTTTATAACAAACCCGGACGCGGGTGTTCTTTGCTTGTCTCATAATTAAGTCAATCCCACACTCTACACTCTAACACACACAATCAAATGGTAACTTAAATTTTAGGTCGACTCGAAATCTTACGTACAAGTTTTTTTAGTATGCTTAGATATAAATTATATGCATGAATTTTTTGTAGTTAGATTCTTAACGATTGAATTTTGGCTGCACATCAAACCCTCCGTTCACTTGAAGCATGAAATATACTAGAAATACAATGGGTTGTTCGAACAACATTTTGTTTTTTCTTATGATAAATCGTAATTAGAAGCGTGTCATAAGACATGCATACATAGAGGATAATGCTTTAGCAAATACGAGTTTTGAGACTCCATGTATACTAGCATTTGTAATCTTCGACCGATGATGAATGTTGTATAATTAGATACGTAAATGTCTTAACGAGACTAAATATCTACACCAGATATGTCATTAGGACAGTATCTCAAAACAAATGATGGATAAGTGGATATTCTTTTCTATTGTTTAATTAGATGCCAAGACAAAAGGGAAAAATATTTGAAATTCAAAACAAGAGCTCCTCTCCTGCGTCTCATGTCCACCATAGTGATTGTATGGTTGTGAATGCAAAAGCAATCACATGCAAGCCAACCGTCACAACCCCTAAGCGGTGACTCACAGCTCCTCGAAGTCAAAACCAACGAACTTACGTACATGCAATCCCAACCGTCCATAATCCCCTATCCAATCCAGGTGCCATGCCCACATGACGCCGTCACGTTCCAAAATGCCCAGCACAAAAATCACAGACGAGCTCTCGAAAGAGAAGAAGCACAAATGCTCTGATTCAACAACGTGTATATTTGGTTAGCCCTCTTTTTTTTTCTTCCCTTTCAATCGAATTTTTCACAGCCTGCGAATTTTACAGAGAAAGTAAGGAGCTTTCTCTCTTTCCTTACTGTTCTCGCATTTAATTTAATTTTTTGACAATTATTTAATTTGTAATTTGGTTATTAAAATTCAGGGTTTTTGTTGTTTTGGAAAATAATTGTTTAAATTTTTGCAGGTTGGAAGTGAAATGGCGAGCTCAGTGGAGAAGGAGGGTGGGAAGGAGGAGGTTGTGTCCTTGGAACTTCCAGCTCCTTCTGGTTGGGTGAAGAAGGTTTATCTGCTTTCTATCTGTTTTTATTGGCTCTGTATTTTTTTGCCCATATAATTTTCTGAGCTATGGAATTTTGAATTTTGAATTTTTGGGTAGCTAAATTAGTATAGTCATGTTTATTTGGGGAAATTTCAATTGGGTTTTGTGGATTGGTGGGTTTTTGTGGTAGAATTTGAGGATTTGGTAATGGTTCTGTTTTAGGGTTTGTGTTGAATTTTCAGGAATTGTGCTTAATTTCTGGGGCTTTTGCATATAGTTTGTGAGGTTAATTTGTCTGGTAGGGTTCGGGGGGAAGCGATTTTTGTACTGGTTTCTTGGAATTCCGCATTGCTAATTGTATGAGAATTTTCAAATTTTCATGGAGGAATGCAGTTTAGAATTGAGGGTTTTGAAAAGTGGAGGCAATTACAATCTCTGTGGTTTCATTTGAGGAGATTCTGCTATTCAATATATTGCTGATTTGTTTCAAATGCCTTTCGAATTTATCTTTGTTATTTTTAATTACTCGAATTCTTTTTGGTATGACCAAACGATTAAGATGTTAGGTGAACATGATATTGCCTATATAAAATGGAAATGACTCTTTTTCCGGGATTGATTGGCTTCCGCCTAACAAGAAACTCAAACGGATTAGTTCTATGTGTAGTTGGATTTAAACTGATTGAGTAATAGGAATATTGGTTGTTTGCAATTATGGAAATCGTGTTGACCAAAAGACGTTCAATTTTTTACCATATAATTGATTTGGCAAATGAGCACATAACTGACAACGGAATATTCCAAAATACAAAGAAAAGGAAGTAACTTTTAATATTTGGCCTTCTAAGTGTACCCGCTAGTTAGAGCTCTAGCTGATTCCATTATGAGCCTTCGTAACTTTCGCGAGTTGCTTTACTTAAAATCTTTTGTGCACTATGCCAATGAACTTTTAGGTCTCCGTGCTGGTTGATTTCATAAGGTGCATGGTCACTGTCCTTTGTCTCTCAAGTGCAATTTCAATATCTGCCTACCACGGTGCAATAGTTTATTTCTTATTCCATTTTCGCATAAGTCGTCTCACAGCACCTTTTTCGAATGTTTTTCATACAATGCATATTATATTGTTATGTATTTTTTCTATTTTATTGAGTCAACTTAACACGCTGAGTTTGGTCTGTGTAACATGCAGTTTCTGCCCAAGCAAAGTGGAACTCCTAAGAAAAATGAGATTGTGTTTACAGCCCCAACGGGAGAAGAGATCACCAGCAAAAGACAGTTGGAACAGTACCTGAAAGCACACCCCGGTGGTCCTGTGGCATCAGAATTTGATTGGGGCACTGGTGAGACACCAAGGCGGTCAGCAAGGATTAGTGAGAAGGCCAAAGCAACTCTGCCGCCAATAGAAAGTGAGCCCCCAAAGAAGCGAAGCAGAAAATCAACTTCGGCAAAGAAGGAGGACAAAGAAAAGGAAGCTGCTCCTGAAGGAGCTGAGGAGACAAAAATTAGTGATGTGCAAGATGCTGAAAAAGCTGAGAAGGATGCAGATACTGAGATGGAAAAGGTTGACGTGAAGGAAAACCAAGATGAGGAAAAAGCACCAGCTCCTCCTGAACAAGCCAAAGTTCAACAAGAAGTTAATGTACCTGGCGATGCTGCAGCTCCGGGAGATTCAAAAGCATCTGTTGATGGGAAGGAGGTTGAAGGGAAAAAAGAAGAAATGGTCGAGCAACCACCTGTTGAGGCAGGGAAAAAGGAAGTGGCAGGGGATCAGGGCAAACCCGGCATTGCTATTGCTGATGATGACAAACATGAAGGAGAAGGAGAGGAAAAAAAGAAACATGGCAAAGAGACCGAAGTAGAAAATATGGAGAAAGCAACAGCGAAAGGGAATGGTGAGGAACATATTAGTTCAGGTGTTCATGAAGCGGGAAGAAGGTTGAAGAAGTGACTGAGAATGGCTGCCCCGGCAATGAGGCTACAAAGGTCGAACCTTGATGATTCATCCAAACCCCGTGTCTCTTCCGTCATTCTGACCCTTGCACATTTCTGGGAAAACTCATTAGTTTCAGTGTTGTTAATTTTAGATCTTTGATTGTTCATTGAAGCCTCCGTCCATAGGATCGGTAGTTTAGACGTATAAAATGTACCCTCCTTTTGTTGTGTACTAGAGAGAATGTAGGTGGCAGTGACCTCTGTAACATTCTGTTGTAAAATACTGGTGATGTAATTTTAATATTGTGCAGCTCTGTACTATTGTAGTGAGAACTTTGTCTTTCGCTCGATCTAGTTGTTGATTTCCACAGGTCTGGTTAAGTCCGTGTTTTTTTGGATGAACAAAGATTTGAGTTTTGGGATCGTAAAATGCTGAAACATCCATAGCTGATTGAGTTGTGCAGATTGGCAAATATATGAAAAAAGTATCATTGTTTCAATTCAATGTACAAAGAACAATGAAATCGGAAGTCGTAGTTTTAGCGAAAACTGCTGTAGCCGGAACTCAATGGAGACTGTTGAACTCCTTTTTTGTATTACTGATTGATAGAAATATTGGAATTAATAGTCTTGCTCTCATAAAAAAACGAAACGAAGTGATCAAATGAGCGGTCTTCTGTGTGGTTAAAGTCCCTTAAGCTGGCCAATGAGCCCTGTTAATGTCGTCCATTTCTCAATTGCACTTGCAGAAGACACAAAAGCAAGCTTGGAGGACTCCACATCGTTCCGGGTTACTGCAAAACAAGATTGACCCACGAAAAAGTATGTTAAACCGAAGATTTTCCAGTCGGATAACTGATGATTTTCTGTAATATAAGTGAGGCATTGATGTTGAATGCAATCTCATTGAATAATTTCTAGTGATGGAGTAACTCACCTGATAATATCAATGAAGCTAGTGAGGAGTTGAATGTATCCACCTCAGTCTTCTCTTCAGGGCTAGAGCTTAGCTGTTGAGAAGGTACACGAAAAACAGTTGGAAAGCTATGCAATGAATGCCAACATAACAACTAGCAGATGCTATGACTGTTCAAGAAACCGAGACTAAGCACAATGTAAAATTCAAAAACAATACACAACGAATGAGGGTAGAGCAATGCTTTCAGTTTTCATTATCGGAGTTTTTTCGTGCTGTTCTTGTAAACCAGGATGAGGGATGACCTTATTCAAAGCGATATTCGCCTTCTGAACCCAATCTGTGTCAGTGCTGCCCCCAAGAACCGAACTGGCTGCAGGCAAATCGTTACTGTCAATGGCTTGGCCTGCTTTGCTCAGCCTGTACACCAGTTCCTGCAGATATCCTGCAACAGATGATACTATTGTTGTAAGTTTCTAGCATGCCAACAAAACGTTTTTTCATAGAACAAGAGAATTACACACTGATTTGGTTTATGTTGAGATATTAAAAGAAATTTAACTAGGGAACAACCATCTGATGGAAAACTAGTTTCGTGTTCGGTGCAAAGAGCATTTTTTCGTCGAGAACTACACGATGTTGATATAGAAGGTGCATGCTCTCCAGTTTGAGTTTTCAATACTTCAAAAAATGAAAGGAAAACAGTCTCGAGACTTGACCAAAATCAGGTAGAATGCAGCTTCCCATGGCACAAAATATGAACTTCCAAGCCTTCAAGCTAAAGCCTTAAGCCTAAATTACAGAACATGGACAATACTTATCGGGTAATGTGTAGCACATATAGCCATTGGTCTTTGGACTCTTCACACAGTCAACCTGTTCTGACTACGAGAAAAGTGAAAGTTTGACACCAGAACTAATCATCAATACGAAGAGTGACCCAACTCCTTATTACCCGACGGGGATATTTTTTCACATCAGCACAAATATATATATAAACTATCACTAGGAATTATATTTTGTTGAATTTTAAACATCAAGAGAAAATTAAGCATTTTATATGGGATCTTGAAGTGAATTAAAACAAAACCTGTTTCTTTCTTTGATGAGCTGAGAACTCCTTGCCTTTCAAGCCTCTTCTTCCTGTCCTTCTTAACCTTCTCCAACAGTTCCTCGTCATCATCAGCTTCCAGAATTGCTGCTTTAGAACTGCTGAAATCTTTGCCAACCAATGAGAAGGCGAAGCTGGTGAGAAAGCAGATGGACAGGCTTCTTTTAGTGAGGATTGGAGCAGGTGATTGCGGCTCTTCACTCAGTGCCTGACAAAAAGTCAATCCTCTCCTTGTACTTGTTTTTTGGACATGAATTAGTTTTGGTGTTGTTGTCAGTGAAGAAGGAGGAGTAGCAGAAGATGAAGGGAGGAAGGATTTTGCAGTGGAGAGAATGGCTGTGGCCATTTTCTTTGATTGGTTTTTTTTTTTTTTTTTACCTTATTTTTTCTGGTGTTTTTTTTTTTTTTTGTGGAAAAATTCAGAGGTATTGAATTGACATGTTAGAACTTTTGAGGATAAGGTTGCAGGATTCTGTCCATCTGATATCCAGTCATTTTCTTCCCTAGTGCTTAATGGTATTTTTGTAATATGCATGGACAATTTACAAAATAAAACCTGTTTATTAGCGGATAAGAGATTCGGACCTTGATGTGTAACATAAATTATATTGCCTTAACCAACTTGGCTACATTTAGTTTGCAAAATGTTAGCATTGTTAAAGTGACTGCTTGCTCGAGAAGTGGAGAGGGAACACGATTGACATATTTCATTTTTTGGGGAAAGTATGATAGATATATTCCTGAATAAGTTTTCGTCAAAGCATCACGAGATGATATACTCCTAAAATTTATGATTTTATCAAAACAAATCACGTGATAAGTGATAAGTAAGAAAGAAACATAAAATCTAACTTTTTAATACGACAATAGTGTTTGACGTGAAATAACACCCACAATCGCTTTTCCCTTTTTATAAAAGTTACTATTTTGAAATAATACCTTACAAATGGCGTCCTCCAATTGGCAAATTGTAAGTAGAAAGTAGTAAAAGTAAATTCCACGCAAACAACAGTAAAAGTCCAAAGTGGGTAAAAAAAGGAAAAGAAATTGACCGACTAGAGCAAGAGTCGACAACGAAACCGCCAAAACGCTCAATACCTTAACTCTCTCTGCTCCTCACAAAACACCCGCAAAACCTGGACGTCAGAGAAAAACAGCAAAAGGGCATCACTTATAAATGTCTCTCATGGAACCCCCCAGGAAGAAGAAGCACTGCATTCAACAAGTGTTCGTACTTGTCGGATTTCCTCTTTGTTTGGTCCTAAGATCGAATCTTCGTCGCATGTTGAACATGGGAAGCTTCTGGTTCTTTGTTCAGTTTGGTCACTTGTTCTTGGTCTTGTTCCTTCTAATTGGTAAATTTCTACTTTTGATTTTCCCCTAGGTGGTTGTTTTTGAATTGATTTGTGGAGTTGCATTTTGAGTTTTAGACTGTTTTCTGCTTGAGTTTGATGAATTGGATTGTTATAGAACTTCTAAAGGTACAAGTTTTCTTACCTCCCCATTTACCATAAGTCGCTCCACACGGAATGCTATGTTTTTGTTAATACATCAAATTGTTTTTTGTTATCTGAATTCGTATATTGTTGTAAGTTCTTCCTCTATCTCATTGGTTTCTTTATGTACATTTCTTACAGGATATCGGAGCTCAACAACATTGGTTTCATTTGCGATACTTTTTGTTCCAGATCTCCGCTGCTGCATTGCTTCTGCTCTAAAAATGACAACAGTAGTCAGTAGAGAGATTGTCTAGCCATTTTTTTCTCTTTGTTTACCTTATTTTCTGCTATGTTTATGGGAAAGCTCAGTCATTTTTTCTGATGCTTAAACAATCTAAATTGACACAATATTTAGACTCAAATTCTAAACCAAAGTCAGATGTCCCCATCAATCCATATACTTAGATATGGCCATCCATCGTTACTAATTATCAAAACCAACTCGGCATTTGAAAATGGTTCATAATTTTGTCTCTTATCATCATAATCTAAAAGGAACAATTTTACTTCTTTCTTAAGTTTAGTACTCAAACTTTGTCCAGAACGTAAGAAAATATTTTATATTCGGCTACAAAAGATATTCCAAACTAGCTACTCTAATTTACGGAAAGAGTGAATCGAACATACAAAGTGCCCTAGTCAACTGGTCTAACCCACGTCTGCTATTTGAAAGTAACTAAAATTTAAGAACCTACATATCAAATAAAGGTACAAACGGGCTAGAAAATGGGCATGTGGGGTTCTAATTTACCAATCGTGGATCAAGGGGAATGTTGTAATGGGGTCCCTGGAAGGATTTCCCAGTTCTAAACGATGAGAAAAAAGGTAGCTTCATCCATGCTCTTATGACTGTTATATAATCCACGATCAGTGGATTTAAAAGTAGATTCCCATATACGTGGATCATATCAGTTGGTATGGCAAAAGGCTGAGGCAACCTTTTTTTTTCTTCTGCATTTTATAACGATCTTTTGATCCATCACTTTCGTCTTTTCACATTTACCAGAATATGTTGGCGAAATGCTCTCTCTTTAAACCAGCTCAAAAGACAACCCTCTCATGTCATCGGATGCAATAACTAATCAGATTTTAATTAGATACCATATGCCTTAAAACATCTCACGCATCACCAAACTCTCATTTATTTTGATGTACACAAACATATTAGAAGGAGAAATTGAGCAGATGCCCTAGCTCGAATTCAAAAATGAATATTGTTAAACACCTGAGCTACAAAACCCTACCATCACCGATACCCAATTTTAAGTCGGATTCTGATTACACTTACGACCTAGGAGGTCACTGATATTTTCTTAAAAAGGTACACCAAACATTACAAAGGGGTCTCTACCTCTTACTTTCTTGAGAACTCTCAGCTTTTTCCACACTTTATGAGCATATATTCCAAGAAATAAACAAAAAAGTCTCCACCTCCACTGCGATTATTTGTGACTGATAACCTTCATTGTCCTTCTGTAATTAACTGAGATTATAGTGGGATCATATAGCAACATACGCGTTTAATTAACTCATTCTTTTTTAGAAAGAGAAAAAAAGATCGAGAAAAATAAAACTAAAAAGACAAAGTTTTAGTTGAGGAAGGCTACCAAGTGCCTTGTCCTCTAAGAAAACTATCCTTTGCTTCTTTCCAGAACATCAGTTAGCTTTTAGAGTGTAGTGTACTACTACTATATCAATTTATTCATGCAAAATAAGGTTCAAACTTTTAGACAAATATTATAGGCTAGTATTTTTCTTATACAATGATATTTACATTATGCGGTGGAATTGGATGAATTGGATTAAGCCGTAATAATTAGATATTAAATTTACTATTACGGGGGTTGAATTTAAAATGTTCCGCTTACAAGTTGATCTTTTATTTGGATGGGGAAAAAAATTAGAAAATTTAAAATTGTCACATGTTAAATTTCTAAGTGAAAATCATACATATAGTGTTGCTTTATGCATGTGAAGAATAATTGTGTGGAGAGATAATATGAATTCTTGACACGCCCCGACCCTGATATTCCCCGAATACCAGGATAGACACGTGTTGGCCGACACCCGAGGGTGACGAAAGCCATTAATTGATACAAAAGCTAAGAATAAGAAATAAATACGGGTTATGAATTTAAATACAATGAATTAACAATTTAGGAACGTGTTCAGAGCATACAACTAAACCTAATCACTAAAAAGAATTAAGATAAAATTGAATGAATAAATAAGTGGGTCATACATCGAGAGGATTCAAAGATGCTGTTGAGGAAGTGTCTTGACGCCGGGATTAGGTGCCTTGATCCTAAGTCCTGAATGGGGGGCGCAAAGCAAAGGTGAGCGGACCCTTTCTAAAATTACATGATTTTATAGTCTAATTGCATAAATGATTAGCATGCCTACAAGTTATGTTTTGATTTATGTTAAGCTTGTTTATCAAATATATTGATTTTCGTCTCGTGTTTTTGGTGAGGAATTAATTGTTAGCCTATATTGAGCTATATTTTAATATATCATATTTTCTATAAAAACCATGAACTGGTAGATTATCTGATGGATGACGATAGGATGCTATAACATGTTTTAGAAACCCCTCTTTATAGTATAGACGATGGATGACTTTATACTATGAAGTAGTTATTTATGAGAGGTGTAACTATTTGTGCGTACCTAGTAAACACTATGCCGTCTGGGGCGAGGATCTGATGTTGGCAGATAGGCCGGGAGAAATAATCCCTAGCTACGGGTTGAGGGACACGGAGCAGGCATTGAGCCGGGAGTTGGTAATCTCTGGCTACGGGTGCAGAGACCACGGAGCAGGCATTGGGCTGGGAGTTATATTTATTCAGTGATCTTTCTAGCAGCACAATACGCTTACGAGACGATCTATGAGACGTTTACTGTTTTGATTTCTGCAATGTTATTCCGCAATATGACTTTTGAGATATTTTGGCATGCTAGGATTTTTATTAAATCCATCACTTATTATGCTAGTAGTTTTCATTATATATAAAATGTGGGGGTTAGTATGTTGATAACTGTTTCATTATTTCCTTGGACGGAAGTGTGCCGACGAGGATGTCAAGCCCCTAAGGGAGGTGGATTGTAAAATCCCATATCGCCCATGGGAGTGATCTTTAAATGTATATTCCCATCCCTATCTAGCACGAGGCTTTTTGGGAGCTCATTGGCTTCTGGTTCCGTAGAAACTCCGAAGTTAAGCGAGAAGGAGGCCAGAGCACTTTCATGATGGGTGACCCACTGGGAAGTTGCTTGTGAGTTCCCAAAAAGGCCTCCTACTAGGTAGGGATGAGAATATACATTTAAGGATCACTCACCTGGGCGATGTGGGATGTTACAATTCTTCCTTCAACATCTCTCTTCTATTAAGAAGCAGAAAAGAAAAAAATAAGAAAATAAAATGAGTTTAAGAGTAATGCTAGGAAGACTAAATTTGTAGACAAAATTTGCAAATTAAATGACATGTCATTAATAGGAAATGGTTACATTTATCAACAATCATCAACTTCCATGTCATTTAGGTTACAAACTTTTGTCTATAAATTTAGTCTCCCTAATATTACTCAAATAAAATTACAATTTGATATGTGGATTTTACTTTTGTATTTCTTATGGCCAATCATTAAAGTTGACAGATATCATATATTCGTTGAGCAATAAGCCAATAGCATTTTTTTTCTCTCTATTCTTTTGAAATAAGAAATATGAAGTCCATGAGGGATTGCGATCCTTCAACTTCCACATATAAGAATCTCGATAACTTTTCTTTCATCTCTATATGCTCAATTCACTATTGAAACATTTGAGAAAAGATAACAAAAATTATCGGGTTGGAAAAGAGTTTTGACAAGTCAGCAAAGAAAAAGATTGCTTTTGCTAAATGAAGATACTTTCAAGTTAAAGTGAATAATAATTAGATTTAGAGAAATTTTGGCAAATTTATCTGACTAGGACAATTCTCATACTAAATGAGACCAATGAGCCGATATTCTTGCTTCCGCTTCATCCACCACAGCTCGCGCAGATATTTCCCTCTAAGCGGAACAGAGTTGAGTGAGTGTGAGACCAAAATACATACAAGAGTTCCATGTTTTTATGAACGTGGTGGTTAATCACCATTACTCAAGTTTTTCATCTTATCGCACAGTTGGTCATGACTCATGCAGGTCGGCAAAGTGTCAAAGATTGTTATCATTTGTGAAGAACATGCAATAACTGAAGGCTGAAAGCCAACGTTGTGAGAAATAATGGACCAACTTTTTAATGCTCATGTCGACAGTGGACAGACTACAGCAAACCCAAAAAAGTTGTTCAAAATATTTCGTTTTCTTCCTACGTGTATTTGGGGCAACTCTGCAATATGCAGTACCAAAGGACAAGAGGACAGGTCCCAAAGATGTTTCAATAGGACAAATGATTTTTCGACGCGCATTTAAAAAGTTCGTAAAATTATAATTGCCGTTGGACCATAGTAATCAATAAATAAACTTTTTCTTTCCCTTTTATTTGTGCTAGTATGTCGCTTTTAAATCACTCATGTTTTCTTAGGCCAATTCATTCATGTATTTTCTGAACATTCATTCATCACTGCTCAATTGTTGAGTCCAAGTCGATCATAGGGTTAGAAAGACGAGTATCAAATGACATTTTCAAAATGCTAATATCCGTACCTAACGATTTCATTGTGTATCATATTTATTTAACTTGGTTTTCTTTACCAAACAACTCCTGCGTGCTATAGACCTAACCCATTGATTTAAACAATAATTTACCAAACAATAGTCCAATTATTTTTCTAAATTAGCATTTTTTGTTTATCTGGTTAGAGTTATGTTTTGTTCCCTGTTTTTAGTAGAATATATATATATATATATATATATATATATATATATATATATATATTTATATTTATTTATTTATTTAAAATAAGTCCTCATCACCAATGAATCTGGATCTTCGTTGGATACTCTTTGTAATGATTTCAGAGATTCGTGAATCGTGTCCGTTCATCGTACATTGTGCAGTCAAAAGTCATTTTAAATATTTTAATTTAAAATTAAACACAAACAGTACTTAATAAAAATTAACCGCACAATGTATGATGAACAAATACGATTCACGAATCTTCAAAATTCTCATCAAAAGGATACGGACTGTTGGCATCACCAATACCACTAGTCATGGTTCCAAATCTGCTGACGACCAAGGTCGGTGTTGTGGGTCTAGGAAGGGAAGATAGGGAGGGGTAAAGCCATGTTTCTTATAAATAAAACCTTATAAAGGAAAAGATAATTAATCAAGCCTCTCTAGTATTCTAAACGACATATTTTAAGTTTGATTT